TCTCTCTCTCTCTCTCTCTCTCTCTCTCTCTCTCTGCAGCCTTGTGTTGCTCTGATTTAGTGGTCCTTTTATTCCACACTTCTGAAATGTCCAGGGAAACAAAAATAACATAAAACCTCAGATAGAACTTGCTGTGTCTTCAAAACACCCGAGTACAAAGAAATTTCAGCAGTAACTTCATGATGAATAAATCAAAGAGGCACACTTGCTTGAAGAAGGGGAGGGGTTGTTGGGGAGGGGGGCAGAAAAAACAACTTCATACTTGAGTGACTTCTTCCAACAAATTAAAATAAAATCTGCTGCCAGAGACACGACGAAAAGCCTCCAGTGGCCCTAAATGGAAGGGCTGCAGGAGGAAACAAAGCAGGATATCGCCCTCTGCCTGTATGTCTCTCTCTCTCTCTCTCTCTCTCTCTCTCTCTTTCTGCCACATTGAATGAGAGTACAGAGCATGACGATGGTATGATGTCATCAGTCAGACGTTGCCCATATTGCTTTGCTTGACGACACACGTAAGGCTGCATTACTACACTACTCAGACTATTAGTAGTCATTTCCTTTCTGGAAAAACCTGAGTGCTGCACAGCACATGGACATAAAATGATAAATAAATGCTGTTCAAATTCAAAGAAGAGTTCACACTGTGTCTGAGAGCTTGGTTCATGTGTATATGCCTGACTTGAATTGTTATGAACTGTCTGTGACAGTTAAGATCTAACTGTGACATCTTGTTAAAGTATACAAAATTTGTATTGTACAAAATTGTTTACAGCAGTGCTGGTTCCTATCAGCACTGCTGCGAACAACTCTGAAAATCCTGTAAATTTCTCTAGAATGCAGCCTTTCACATCAAAAGACTCTGAAAGACCTTGTAAATGATTTAATTCCACAGAAATTTTCTGAATTTATATTTTTGAAATGGGATTGGCTATTTTAATCCATTGGGATTTTAATCCACCAGTTATTTTTAACATAACCACTACATTTCAAGATTATGGCCAAAATCTCCGGTTGGGAAAACTGTTGTTGCTGCTTTAGCTAAGTGCTTACTTTGTTAAGTTGTTGTTTTATGTCCCATGAAGTGTTTCTGAGGCACTCTGAGACAACATGCAGTTTGTGGCTGTCATTAAAGCTGACAGTGTGGCTGAAAGATGGCAAGAGAAAGTGCTTCAAATAACATATGAATATTGTTTCTTAATCACTGTTTGAAAAAGCCAAATTGTTATTGTTAAAATCAGCGTCCATAAAATCCAATCAGATGACGAAATGTCAGTTGAGCATCAAACGCCCTGCTGAAAAGACCAGCACAGACCAGCATGAATTTGAAATGCAGGTATACGCTGGTCTACTGATAGTTTAGCTGGTCACCCAACATGGTCATACTAGTATCCAAAACACAACACATGTTGGTTTTCCTAGTGATCAGCATATTATCTTCCATTGTTGCTGACCTTCATACCAGCATCCAAAACACAACATATGCAGGTTTTGCTGGTGATCAGTTATGCTTGTCAAAACTGTTTTCTTCTAGCAGTGTTATTGCTGCTAACAGTCCCTCTTTAACTGGTTTAACATTATATTTTCTGCAACTGGATATATTCTGCCCTCACTAGAGTAGGCTGAGGATGTTAGCAGAGAGCTAACAGGCTAATGATCCAAAAACGTATTTTTGGATCATTCGCAGATTTTGAGTTTGAGCCTTCACAGAAGGAGTTACTTGAAAACTGACACAAAGAAAAAAATGTTACTTGCATGCTTATTATGAGTTCAAACCATGTGTATTTCAACTAGAGCTGACTTATAATGCTGAGCTAACCCTGCTAGCTTGGTGCTAACATACCAAGGTGAATGTACAAGGAGCATTATTGTAACGCTGGTTTGAAAGATTTCTACATGATACTGGTAATGCAATCGCTTTATTGGCACACAAGCATTCAAGCATCCCAATAAATTGTGTTATTCGTAGTTAACTTTTGTCTATTCACTAGAAGTTCTGTCCATAAGTCACTCAAAGCATTTTGGGCGTACGAGTGAAATGGTAAAGGAACCTTACAACAGAACAAAGTGTTACATGACAGCAGCAAAGAACTTACTTAAGATTGTATAATGCAGGTAGCACGGCACTGGAACAAGAGGATTTTGTACTAATCCTGAGAGCTCTTTAACCATCATACTGTAAAAACAGCTTTTTTTAAAAAAAACAAAAAACAAAAAAAAAAACAGAAAAAAACCTCATCTTCCCAGTGCTCTCCCACTCCACATTCAAAAACAAGAACTGACCCAAACAGTAACCAACTCAACTTATGGTTCTAGTTTTAGTTGATTTTCCTCCTGCTTGACGGACAGCAGGAACCATTATAATAACCATGATTAATGACTTAATAGTCTTTTTGGTCATTTTATGTCACTCTAAAGCATCTAATTGATGGTTTTGCTTTATAATGGGAATTGGCTTAATGTTTACCACTAGTTTCCTGTAGAACACCTTTAGATCCTAAAAGGAAACCATCAGATGCATCTGATATCAGTCCAACAACACCTGTTAAACCATTAGAATCCTTTACACTGTGATTAAAAACCCAATAGGAAAACACAAAATACCATTAGTTGCACATATACCATTATACCAACAAAAACTCTGAATAGTTTCTGTGATTTTTTTCAGCTACTTGCCAGTTAGCTTATTGGCTGAAATGAAAAAATATATTGCTTTTATCACTACACTCACACAAATGTACAGAATCATGCATAGCGTCAAAAAAGCTTTTATTTTTCTTTGTCTAGTGTGAAAATTTGAGCAAAAACATTCGTTCTGTGGCCACTAGCGTAAATGCTAACAAAATTAGCTTCTTATTTTATGTTGCCTCATGTCAAACTCGCTACATACAGTCCTGCTCTACATTCTGGTGCTCTTAATGGTTTTATGATAGTGCTGAAGAGCCATCTTTATGGAAAAGCCGGAAAAATGTAAGTCCATTACATACATTTGACATAAGAGCCTCAAACACAACACAATTCACTGTTATTGTGAGTATTTTGTCCGTTACGTTTGTATTTATTGTAAATCATTCACAAATTAAGCTGCTTTCATTCTGACTGGATGTGAGTTATCCACCCGGATATAGAGCCAGGCTTTATGCTAACAAACATTCTGATTTGGTCTATAGTGCACAAACATATTTGTACTACTATTAGTGTACTGTCTTTTTAAATATCTTGCAGCAGCTTCACATCAAGTTCATATCAAAGAACAGTGCTGTGGGTTTTGATTAAACATTGCATCGTAAGGATGTGCAATGTTCCAACTACAGCTACTTCACACACCTGCAGGATGATGCTGCAGCGCACACATTCTTCGTACAAGACAATGCGCAAGAGGATAAAATGGAAACATGGACCGAACTCCATCAAAATGGTAGTAATGAAAGTATTGGATGATTGGTCATGCTTCTTCAGCGTGGGGCATTTCAGATAATCTGCTTCAGAATCCAAAGAGATGTTAATGGGAAGAGTGATGCTATGCTATGTATCGGCTGTTGAGTTCACCCCGGGAGCACTTTCGATAACTCCATTTTGATTGCCCTCATCATCTTCTTCTCCGAGGCAAAACTGGACAGTGAGAAATGTCAGAGCTGTAAAACTAACTACCCCAAGACTTCATCTTCAAACTGCCTTTCTATAAAAACGGAGTCTAACTGTCGGCGTCAGGAATTTTTAACAGTCGAGAACGAAGCGAAAGAACCGCTGAAGGAGCGAGCGGAGCTATTGTGTTTCCAATCCACAGCCTCTTCTTCACACATCTGTTAGGCAGGGTTTATTTTAGTCGTGTGAAGACTGCTGTCTCAAAGAGTCTAGGCTGCAATCTGATGACTGGGACAGGAGGCACGCCAGAACTCTCTCTGATGATGAGGTCACAGCTCGCCTCAGGGGCTTCTGGGAACTGCGCTCCCCAGAGGCGTAGTAACTCCAGCCATCCGATTGCTGCGCGGGGCCTGATCACAGGCCACATAAAGCGCTCCTAAGCGGAAAAGGCTGACCCTGCATTCAGAAGCCATCGCGGAGAAGCGCTGACCTGAAATCAATTTTCCCTTGTCCAGGCTGGTCGTAGTTCCAACATCCTCCGAAGCAAAAGTTGATCCAGAGGCAGTGGTCGTCCTCTGGGATGCTTTATGAGCGCAGACCCTGGCCACTGAGGCTAAGGCTCTCATAAAATCATAAGATCCCTGACTCGGCGTAGGGAAATGATGAATGCAATAACGCCGCATGGGGTCTCCATGGTGGGAGTGCAGGGTGTGCTGTCAGCAGAAATGCAAAGTGCAGCTCTTAAACTGCTTTTTAAGGGCTCCTGGGTGATGCTTATCTTAAGGTGGTTAACTTAAGCCAAAAGGTCCACGAGCCCGCCATAATTGGTCGGCTCTGCATAATCACGAATGCATATTATGGATACATTATGAGCAGCAAGATGCAATAAAGCAGAAATTTACTTTTTAATAAGCCTCGGTGGCTCTTTCCAAATGGTGACTCATACTATTGAAGAAGAAGGTCATTAGTTGCCTTTTGCACACAGTTTTGCACAGCTGCAATGGAATTCTTTGTTTTTGCATATCCTTAGCCTCCTTAGCCAGAGCATATCTAGGTATGCCAGCAGTTCAGTGGGCTACAGCTTCACCCCTAGAAAGGAATGCTAGTTTGAATCTCATATAAAGGAATGCTAGTTTAAATCTCGTGCTATTTTGTTGTCGAAAGGGTTCTAATAATTCTCTACTTTTGAGACAGCTTGAGAAAGACCGCAAATCACTTGATTTGGTTTTGCAATACATGATGCTAGTCTCTCCTATCATTAACCCAAGCCTAAAAAGTTGAGCCGGCCTAAGTAAATGAAGACATTCTGCCTTGATAGGAGGGCCCTGTGGTACCAGTGGAGTAAGAAAGTGACATTTGGATGTCTTTTTTTAAATGCAAAGCCATAGTAAGTATGGTAGAACGAAAACTTAACTCACCATGTTGACCTCCGAGATGGAGTCGATGCTGGCGATGTTTATGCTCATTCCCACAATGACTGGGGGACCTGGAGAAAAAAAGAGAGGCAAACAAAGAGAGGTCGGTTAGTTGAGTCCTTGGGCACGGAGCAAGAAATACCCTTCACTGTAAGTTAGCCCTTCAGTGCTAGAGGCCAGCTGTAATGACATTGACACAAGGTCACTAAACATTTACAGTAACATTCTCCCACTGAATGATGGTAAGTCTTCTTGGTGCACATTAGAGCACAGAAGGATTACAGACAGCAATTCTGGGAACAGTCTGTTCCAATCAATACTGAGTTTTCTGGACCTTTGGATGAATCAGTCCATTGGTGGATAAGTGCTACAGAAAGAAACAATAAAGAAACAATAGTCTTTACTATGAAATGAGAAGTCCTGCATTCTGCACTGGGGATAATGGCATCTGCACTGGGTCCCGTGTCGTGGTGCACAGGGGCCCCCAGAGTCTAGGCCATCTAAAATATTTGGTGGTGCCTCTCATAAAAACGTTTGTACACCTGCTCATTCATTGTTTCTTCTGAAATCAAGAGCGCTAATAGAGTGTTTGTCCCTCTTTGCTGCAGTAACAGCCGCTACTCTTCTCAGAAGTTGGATGTTGGAACATTGCTGTGAGGATTTGATTGCATTCAACCACAAAAGCGTTAGTGAGGTCAGGTACTGATGTTGGATGATTAGTTCTGGATCTCAAACACCACTCCAGCTTATCCCAAACATATGGAAAGATGCTCTATCATTTCAAAGGATGCACTACCACTGGTCCACAGACCAATGCTGAGGGGCTTTATACCCCTCTAGCCAATGCTTGACATTGAGCATAGCAATCTTAGGCTCATGTGTTGCTGCTCCAGAGCATCCCATTCTAATGGCAGTGCTTTTATATGGAGATTATACAAGCTGTGTGTGCACAACTGAATGCCTGTGTCAGTAATGGGGCACCTTAAAGTAGCTTAATTCACTAAATAGAAGTGGTGTTTGCACAGTTTTGTGCATATAGTGTAGATACTGACACAACTGAACAACATTACTTGGCAGTTCTCCAATCAACACTACTCAGACAGCCTTGATGTCTATTAATGTCCCTCTTATTCATAATGCAGCACATTTATGGTAATCATTTTCAAACAGGCACTTCACAACCTGTAACACTGTATATTCATTATTTCAAAAATTTTAAAATTATACATAGGGAATCTAACGTAAACATAAAGTTTAACATTAGATGATAGTGTGTGGAACGGCATGCCAACCTTGCTACACTAACATCACCATCCCCAAAACCAATTCCTTAATAACGTGCAAAGCACAGTATCACAGAACTTGTGCGTAAAAGCAAGCGGCCTCCATTTGAGGCTGTGTCTGCGTGAATCTGGAGACTGGAGTGGAAACTGAGTATTAAATGAGTACGGAAGTGCAAGCTTTCCTCTGCTCTCCTCTCGCTCTCACAGCCCTAGTGAGTGCAGGGCCTGCTCCATATGGCGTTTGGAGCTGCGCTCTCTGCTTCATTACGAGTCACTTTGTTCTTCACTAGTGCTCGCCCCTGTCCTTGGTGACCTCCTGAGGGAAACGGCTTTTGATACAAGAGCGAAGGAGCGGCATTCCTATTTGTAGTTTGTGCAAGACCAGCAATCTGGTGGCAAAGCTTTGACTATCACGAGAGGAGTGAAGCCGCATGAACTCTAGGAGAATATTTCTTCCCAGTGGTACTTTGAGAAAGAAAAAAAAAAACACACACACACACACACAATTGGTCGAATCCCAGGTGTTCCGTTCTGTGTTCATGGCTGAGGGACCTTAGGGAATGTATCTGGCCATATTTCCATGGGGTATGGATTGGATGGTAGAGTGTACACTCTCTATGAGTGGTGCATTGTTTCTGTGGCACATATACATAGTCATATAAATAAAAAATGCAAACTCTTCAAAAAGTAGCCATTGTGTTCTGTGATCCTCAGTGGGAACAATAAGAAGATGCTTTCTTGTGATTCCTAAGAGCACCAATTCAAACCTCCTCTCCAACAGTATAACGGATTCATTAATGACATAGGGTTATGATGATTGACACTCCAATGTTTTGACTCAACACAACAGGTAGAGTAAACATGTATGCGATGATATTAACTAGATTATATGATGTGAGAATACAAAAAAAAAAAAAAACATTTAGAACCAATAAACGCAAGCTACGTTCACACCAGTAGGAGGTCAAGGGAAGTTTAAAACCTACTTAAAAATACATCTCCTTTAAGGACTCAGTATGACTAATTTACTGAATTTGTCATTTGCCGAATGAGGAGTTAGTCAGTCTTCCCCTCGGGAGAGTATTAGCAGTCATTAACATAGGGGATGTGAGAAGTAATCATATAGGATGGCACTATTGCTATATGCCAATTCTTGGGGATGATATGGAAAGTTGGCATCTGTAGACAACATCTCTTCAACGCGTCTTAGTTTTTGATATGTGGACCAGTGGCATATCTAGATCGTCAATAGCAAAGCAACTCTCCTCTTAATGGCGCAAACATCTGCACCACAGTGAGGTGGAAACCAGTGACGTGGTAGAAATTTTGGGGTGGCATCTAGGGTGGTCAGTCAGATTTCAGGGAGAGAACTGGCCACACCGCCCACCCTTATAAAACCATGCATGATGTGGACAGGAGGACAAAAGTGGTCAGTGGTTATGCTCAAACAGACAATATATTTTTATTAAGATATAGACATTTAGTTTGTTTTCTGTACTTTCCTTGCATTGTGGCCACGGCACTGTGTGCACTCTCCACCCAGTTCTGTAGTCCAACCCAAGCCCCAGTTTATTTTCTTAGCTCTCTTATCACTGCTTAGCAACCGTTGCTATCTGCCTTTACACTGGTCAGTCTCTCAGTTCTTTAGAATTGTCAGATATGGGATCTCAAAAAGCTCACTAGTTCAATAGTAAGGGTACTGCCCAAGGAAGCAGCCATGTCTTATTGGCAAAATCGTTCCAGTGGAACTTTGGTTCCCTGAAAGTTCCCACAATGCAGTGGGCACCAGCTGCTCACTCTGCTCCTTGATTGGAAATAGTATAAAAAAAAATAAATAAAATAAAATAAGTTGCGCCAGTTGCATTTGTCTCTAAATTAATACCACTGGTGCAACTTATTTTATTTTACTTATTTTTTAAAAGTTGATGTTTTCTGCTGCACAGTGGCTACAGATACTAACCAGAATCTATAACATACAATATTCCACAAGTGATGCACTTTATTAATTAACTTTATGAACAAAACATGTGAAGAGCAGGCTGACCTGACCAGCCGATGCTAATGATGCTAATAGGCCCCTTTAAAATATGCAGTAACAGCTTTGCTATACAATGGCAACATACAAAGTAAGAATGTTGCATGAAGTTCTATTCCAGTCCTAGTCCTGGTGACCCCACACTATGCATATTTTTGTGCTTCATCACCTGACTCAATTCATTAACTAATTAACAAACGGCTTGTTGCTTGGGTCAGGTGTGTAGGGTAGGGAAAGCACAAAAGTGTGCAGTGCATGGGGTCAGCAGCACTGGGATTGGGAATTATGTAGTCATCAATTTACTGTGTATTACAACAGCCATGAAATGACCTGGGGTTAACTGAATGAAGAACTTAAAAACTGAATTGACTGCATTAAACATTGCTATGTAATGAAATGTGTGACCAGCACGTGGCTGTATCTGCTGTGCTCTTCTACTACAAACAGCTATGTCAATGCAAATGATTGCAAAGCATCCTTGAGCATGGGATAGGTGCTATATAAATAAAAGTGATGATGATGATGATGATGCCGATGATGATAATGATGATGATGATCAATTGTCTACCTCATTGTGCTTTATAAGGAAGGTTGTTGCAGTGTGGCGTTTGAGTGAAGCTTGCTTTCTTATTGATGTGTACAGTCTTTTATTTTATTTTAGTTTTGGATTATGAATGATGACGACATATAACCAAGAGGATTGGCTCATCTTCATCGAGCAGTTGCTGGAGGAATTATGGGGAAGCTGAAGCAAACTTTGTCCACATTTTTGGTCATGTGAAAAACTGAGGAAGTATTAGGAGGATATCTACAATACTCTTAACTCCGTCTTTGATATTCCAATCCCTAAAGGGCCTTTAGTGTCATTGTTAGGAGTTGTCCTACAGGGATTTGATAATAGGTGCCAAATCTACCTTCTCCAAATTTTATTTGCAGCAGCCATTAAAGGTATAACTGTTAATTGGTTGAAAATTACTGTTCCAACATATGAGTCCTGGATTCAGCATTTATGGGAACTACATAATATGGAAGAAATAACACACAATTTGAGACTACAGAAGCAGAAATTTGTTAAAAGATGGAGTCCAGCAATGCCAATAATGGTTTGAAGATATGGTGTAATTAAATTTAAATAGGTAGTAAGCATCAATCCTGATTCCACTACATCTCCTCCCTTCCATCCAGGTTATTGTTTTCAAGTTTGTTGTTAGTCTTTGTCAAGTATATGTGAACACCAGTGTGAATGTGTGTATACATGTCTGTATGTATACACCTGACTTACTGTGGCCTGACTGCGAAGTTGTGAATCTTTTCGTGATCCTTTAATAAATAATAAGTTCCAAAAAATGAATGATGACGACTGCACTGCTGTCAGCAATAGGCTGTGCATGATACCAAAACACTGTGGGGCAAAGCATGTTTGGAAAATGTATAAAATGTATCCTGAAGAAAAGTTGTTCTGGCATTAGGGGTTGGTTTTAGACAGGGCTCTGTACTTTCTGTGGAACAGAAGAGTGTCACTCAGCAAAGTGATTTCTTTTGGTACAGTGTGATTTCAGTGCAGACTCTGCAAATTCCATGATGTAGCAGAATTGCAACTTTCAGCCAAGATGTTGTTTCTATGGTGCATCAGTGTTTCACCCAGGGTTCTCTTTTTCATGGTACATACCTTTCTTTAATTGTGGGATACAGTACAGGAGAGGTAACGTAAGCATCCATAGTGAATTGTAGTATGCAGATTTATATGTATTTG